ACTGCTGTGTGGGTATGAAAGTATGTTATTTTTGGGTAAATATTAACAAAAATGGATCAGAAATAATATTATATTGAAAATCGTATTGATTTCCTTAAGAAAAATACCTAATAATAATATATTTTTAAGCATTTATATTTTTTGACCACTAAATTCAATGCTGAACATACCCAGAAAGTAGTCTTTTTGTACTCTATAGGGTTATCTTCAAAACGATATTAAAATACCATACTAACCGATATGTGAATATATGTCTATAGTTTCTTAAAGTAAATTGATCAAATTTAATGTTTCAAAAACAAGTTTTGCCAAATAAGCTAAAATTGTTATTTATAAATACCATTGAATCCCAAATATAAGAGTTGGCTAACTACTTGTCAAAGTTTGGACAGGTATTAAAAATCGATAATGGAGGATATTTAACAAATAAATTATTTAAAATAGAATTTGAAACATTTAAGAATCTGACTCAATAAAACTGTATTTTCATTACTTGATAAAAATACGTTAAAAAGTAGAAATAAGTCAGACCCTCAATGAAACTTCTGCAACACAAATCACCAATGCTGAAATCATCTTCCCACTGCCCTTCTACTCGCTTCTCATTCGAACAGGGGACCATAGGCCCGCCGCGTTTTGCAACTAAAAAGTGTAATTTTATAAAGAATAATGTCTGATTCTGCAGTTGTAACATCCGCGTCTCCAGTGGCTGCTCCACCAGTAGCAGCGGAGAAGAAGGTGGCCGCTAAAAAGGCATCTGGATCCGCTGCGGCTACTGCAAAGGCAAAGAAGCCCACAGCTCCACCATCGCATCCCCCAACTCAGCAAATGGTTGACGCTTCTATTAAGAGCTTGAAGGAACGTGGCGGCTCATCGCTCCTGGCCATCAAGAAATATATTACTGCCGAATACAAATGCGATGCCCAGAAACTAGCTCCATTTATCAAGAAGTACTTGAAGTCGGCCGTTGCCAATGGAAAGCTGATCCAAACAAAGGGAAAAGGTGCCTCTGGTTCGTTCAAACTGTCGGCTTCCGCCAAAAAGGAGCCCAAGCCAAAGGTTGCGTCGTCTGTGGAGAAGAAAGTGAAAGCCAAGAAGGTGGTGTCATCGGCAGCAGCAAAGAAGACAGCAGGCCCCAAAAAAGCAGCCGGAGCCGGTGACAAGAAGCTAAAGGCAAAGAAGACAGTCGCCACCGCCACCAAGAAGACCGCCGAGAAGAAGAAAACTGAGAAGGCAAAGGCCAAGGATGTGAAGAAAGCTGGAACCGTGAAGGCGAAGCCAGCAGCGGCAAAGGCCAAGTCGAGCCCTGCAAAGCCAAAACCAAAAGCAAAGGCTGTAGCTGCAGCGGCGTCTGCCAAGCCCAAGAAGGTGACGAAAAAGCCAGTTGCTCCCGCCACCGTAAAGAAGCCGAAAGCAAAGACGACGGCGGCCAAGAAGTAAATTGCGAAATTGTACACGTTGGTGTACACGGTCGCATTCGAAATTTTAGATGATTGTACATCTGAAATTGATTTAAACAAGCCCTTTTCAGGGCTACAAAACTATATCAAAAGAGATAAAAATTATCCGGCCGAGCCCCACTTCATTTATAGGCAATAACAGATACGATTTTAGATTCTTAGCCTGGCAGCGAAAGAACATGGTATTGAAAATGGTTTTGCTTTTAAAAATATTCTGCAGGAATATGAATCCCCCCATGTCACCATTTTGAAAAGATTTAGCCTACAGCCCCTTGCCATATCGAAAAACGTTCACCACTCAATTTTTTTGTATAGCTGGGAACATTATGGGGTCACCTTTTTTTTTTTTTCGATATTTTGGGCTCCTGGGTGCTACCTTGTGACAAACTTTTGTGGCATCATGTTCATACATACATACCATACGTAAATCCATGATTCGTCCTATGTTACGATTTCAAAAACGTTCTGGGTAACCGAAGCTGTATTTGATTTCCTTTTGTTCAAATCATACTGTACTACTGTATCTCGCGAATGTACTGTAAACCACACATTTGAGAAATTTATTGGACTGTATCTTATTTTTATTCGTTTGTCAATATTGAAAATGGCGTTTCTTTGGGAAAATGTTTTGTGGCCCTGAAAAGGGCCTTTTTGTCTTAGGTTCTGCAGAGAAACAAATTTACTTGGAGCTGGTGTACTTGGTGACAGCCTTGGTTCCCTCACTAACAGCGTGCTTGGCCAACTCTCCCGGCAGCAGCAGGCGCACAGCAGTTTGGATTTCCCGACTGGTGATGGTCGAACGCTTGTTGTAATGAGCCAAGCGAGACGCCTCGGCGGCAATGCGCTCGAAGATGTCATTGACAAAGCTGTTCATGATGCTCATCGCTTTCGACGAAATACCAGTGTCAGGGTGGACTTGCTTCAGAACTTTGTAAATATAGATGGCATAGCTCTCCTTCCTCTTGCGCTTCTTCTTCTTGTCGGTCTTGGTGATGTTCTTCTGAGCCTTTCCAGCCTTTTTGGCTGCCTTTCCACTAGTCTTGGGCGGCATTTTATTTCACTTTACTTTCACAAATTATACTTTGCGTGGTGAGCGTAAAAAAAACCAAACCTTATACTTTTATTCGAGCAGTCTATTCAAGTTAAACATACAGGCGGAAAACCCACCCCTAGGTTGAACGCTCAAGCAGACGGAAAGGTATAAATATAGCGTCATTGGGTGCTCAACTCAACTCAATTCGTTTGTGAACAGTGAAATAAATAAATATCTACTATTAAAATGTCTGGTCGTGGTAAAGGTGGCAAAGTGAAGGGAAAGGCAAAGTCTCGCTCGAACCGTGCTGGTCTTCAGTTCCCTGTTGGTCGTATTCATCGTCTGCTTCGCAAGGGCAACTATGCCGAGCGTGTCGGTGCCGGCGCTCCTGTTTACCTGGCTGCCGTGATGGAATACTTGGCCGCTGAAGTTCTAGAGTTGGCAGGCAATGCTGCCCGTGATAACAAGAAGACGAGAATTATCCCTCGCCATCTGCAGCTGGCCATTCGCAACGATGAGGAGTTGAACAAGCTGCTCTCGGGCGTCACCATTGCTCAGGGTGGAGTCTTGCCCAACATCCAGGCCGTTCTGCTGCCCAAGAAGACCGAGAAGAAGGCATAAATGTTCCAATAGCCACAGCAAATAGCATTCTTGTACATGTACATATAAACCCAAACGTCCTTTTCAGGACGACCAAACCATGGCTAAAGAATTAAGAGAATTTTCATAATTTATTATCATTCTAAAGTAAAATCTACTTCGGCTTGGTGTCGCATCAACAGACAATTAAAATACATATTTATGCAGGCTAAGCCACTCTATTTTCTGTTAATTGATAACGAAGAAGTTACCTAAAAAAGTACAGTTGTGCTGGACTCGCCTGAAAGACGAAAGAATTCAAGGGGCTGAGGCTGAGTGTCTGGGGACCATAATTTGTGTACCTGAGATTTCGCTTTTCCAGTACATTTCAGGCAAAAAACGAACCAAATTTTACCAGCCGATTTATACCTAAACAATATCTCTCGCCAGGTATGCGCTAAATTCGGTCCTTTTCAGAACGACCAATCCCATGGTCGCATGGGCCTCAGCTAGTACAGTTGTGCTGGACTCGCCTGAAAGACGAAAGAATTCAAGGGGCTGAGGCTGAGTGTCTGGGGACCATAATTTGTGTACCTGAGATTTCGCTTTTCCAGTACATTTCAGGCAAAAAACGAACCAAATTTTACCAGCCGATTTATACCAAACAATTCTCCGCCAGGTATGCCTAAATTCGGTCCTTTTAGAACGACCAATCCCATGGTCGCATGGGCCTCAGCTGTGCTGGACTCGCCTGAAGAGAAGTCGGGGTGGGGAATTTTCTTCTTCCATCATTTCGGCAAAAGATTCGCCTACATCCTCGCCGTACCGTTTTTTAAAAAACCAACCCCCGGGGGGGGGGGGCCTCAGCTAGTTCAGTTGTGCTGACGTGCCTGAGACGGAATTCAGGGGCTGGGCTGATGTTGGGGGGGACCATACTTTGTGTACCTGAGATTTCGCTTTTCCAGTAAATTTAGGTAAGAAACCAAATTTTACCAGCCGATTTATACCTAAACAATATCTCTCGCCAGGTATCCGCTAAATTCGGTCCTTTTCAGAACGACCAATCCCATGGTCGCATGGGCCTCAGCTAGTTCAGTTGTGCTCGACGTGTCTGAAAGACGAATTCTAGGGTATTTAAATACATATCATGCCATGCTATGCTGAATGACCTAGTTTTCTTCGGTCGCTTAGATGGGAGCACCTCATATTGTTGGATTGCCAAGCCAAGGTTCATGTTTTCTGCTTTGAATCTTGTGTTTTTTTTTTTTATATCAATTAATATGAAAATATGCCTCTCTTTTTGATTATTTTGTGGTCCTGAAAAGGACCGATTGTTTACTTTCTGGATACTTTCAAACAGCAGACTGTACACAGTTTCTTAACCGCCGAAACCGTACAGCGTGCGACCTTGTCTCTTCAGAGCATACACCACATCCATGGCTGTGACTGTCTTCCTCTTGGCGTGTTCGGTGTAGGTGACGGCATCACGGATAACGTTTTCCAAAAACACCTTCAGCACTCCACGAGTCTCCTCGTAGATGAGTCCGGAGATACGTTTTACACCGCCACGACGAGCCAAACGGCGGATAGCGGGCTTCGTGATACCCTGGATGTTATCGCGCAGAACCTTGCGATGACGCTTAGCGCCTCCCTTACCCAAGCCTTTGCCACCTTTACCACGACCAGTCATTTTTCAATATGCTTGTGTTTCACTTTACGAAGAACGGGAGCGAATGTAAGTAAAATTTTTCTCGCACTGCTATTTATACCAAAACACCATAGAAACACGAGTGAGTCCGAATGATATGTGCATCTCGTTCGGGATATGAAACAGCATGCTTCGGCTGCTCTCGTTCTGTCGTTTCAACCCTCCGCCAGAAGAATGAGAATGCTATATAAGCTAGCATAGTTGGCTGCGATCGCTTATTGTCAATTCGAATTTTGAACATTGAAAGTGAAAATGGCCCGTACTAAGCAGACTGCTCGTAAATCCACTGGTGGCAAGGCGCCACGCAAACAACTGGCTACCAAGGCCGCACGTAAAAGTGCTCCAGCAACCGGTGGCGTGAAGAAACCTCATCGGTATCGCCCTGGCACTGTTGCCCTGCGTGAAATCCGTCGTTACCAGAAGAGTACCGAGCTGCTGATCCGCAAACTGCCTTTCCAGCGGTTGGTTCGTGAAATCGCTCAAGATTTCAAAACCGACTTGCGTTTCCAGAGCTCAGCAGTAATGGCCCTGCAGGAAGCTAGCGAAGCCTATCTGGTCGGTCTCTTCGAAGATACCAACTTGTGTGCCATTCATGCCAAGCGTGTCACAATCATGCCCAAGGACATCCAACTGGCCAGACGTATTCGTGGCGAGCGTGCTTAAGTTGACATTTCTTCGACAAGCACATATAAACTTTGTACAAATCGGTCCTTTTCAGGACCACAAATAACTTACATTGAGATTTTTTATTTCTACATACTCGCATTATTTTTCCCCAAATAAAATATGTACATACTAGGTCCCATATGGAAATATTTACTCCTAATATACGGCATTACTGCTCAAAGCAACTTAAACAAAATAATACTTGTAAAGAAACTCCTTTCTGGTGACCCTAACTTACTAAAAAGCCAAGGTTTCCCCACCAATTCTCGCATAATAAATTAAATAAGCTTGTTTTTTAAAATAAAAAATAGAATACGAAAATGAATTGCGGGAAAATCATCCAATAAATCCATAGCGTATATGATCCGTATTAAATGTATTAGCATATGTATATTCTTCATGAGTTCTGTTCTTTGTTGTAATGTTAATGAAACATGTGTGCATGTTCCGTAATAATAAGTGGGTGGAATACAATTTGGGGCGATACAAATAATTCTCATTTATTTGGGGAATCAAATAAGTTTTTTTGGGATGAACTAATCAGAAACAACCAGCTGAACAACCTCATAAATTATAACCAATATTATTATAGTTTTTTGACGTATTACATTTATTTGTGGACATTATTTTAACGTAATTTTAGTATCCAAGCTTTTCCAATGACCAATAAATTCAATTTTTTGAAATGTCAAGGATATGCTTAAACGACAGAAGCAACTTGGCATAGGCTTTTTAGACTAACAATCGAAAGACTAGTATGTAATAAAAGGCCGTTTAAAAATTTAAATATATAAAAATATTATACAAAAGTAATGGAAAAATGTTTTCAAGATTCCTATAATTCCTATAAAGCAATAAAATTTGCGAAAAATGTATTCTTTCGATTTTAACTATTGCAATTAATTAAATTGCCACTGCTGTGTGGGTATGAAAGTATGTTATTTTTGGGTAAATATTAACAAAAATGGATCAGAAATAATATTATATTGAAAATCGTATTGATTTCCTTAAGAAAAATGCCTAATAATAATATATTTTTAAGCATTTATATTTTTTGACCACTAAATTCAATGCTGAACATACCCAGAAAGTAGTCTTTTTGTACTCTATAGGGTTATCTTCAAAACGATATTAAAATACCATACTAACCGATATGTGAATATATGTCTATAGTTTCTTAAAGTAAATTGATCAAATTTAATGTTTCAAAAACAAGTTTTGCCAAATAAGCTAAAATTGTTATTTATAAATACCATTGAATCCCAAATATAAGAGTTGGCTAACTACTTGTCAAAGTTTGGACAGGTATTAAAAATCGATAATGGAGGATATTTAACAAATAAATTATTTAAAATAGAATTTGAAACATTTAAGAATCTGACTCAATAAAACTGTATTTTCATTACTTGATAAAAATACGTTAAAAAGTAGAAATAAGTCAGACCCTCAATGAAACTTCTGCAACACAAATCACCAATGCTGAAATCATCTTCCCACTGCCCTTCTACTCGCTTCTCATTCGAACAGGGGACCATAGGCCCGCCGCGTTTTGCAACTAAAAAGTGTAATTTTATAAAGAATAATGTCTGATTCTGCAGTTGTAACATCCGCGTCTCCAGTGGCTGCTCCACCAGTAGCAGCGGAGAAGAAGGTGGCCGCTAAAAAGGCATCTGGATCCGCTGCGGCTACTGCAAAGGCAAAGAAGCCCACAGCTCCACCATCGCATCCCCCAACTCAGCAAATGGTTGACGCTTCTATTAAGAGCTTGAAGGAACGTGGCGGCTCATCGCTCCTGGCCATCAAGAAATATATTACTGCCGAATACAAATGCGATGCCCAGAAACTAGCTCCATTTATCAAGAAGTACTTGAAGTCGGCCGTTGCCAATGGAAAGCTGATCCAAACAAAGGGAAAAGGTGCCTCTGGTTCGTTCAAACTGTCGGCTTCCGCCAAAAAGGAGCCCAAGCCAAAGGTTGCGTCGTCTGTGGAGAAGAAAGTGAAAGCCAAGAAGGTGGTGTCATCGGCAGCAGCAAAGAAGACAGCAGGCCCCAAAAAAGCAGCCGGAGCCGGTGACAAGAAGCTAAAGGCAAAGAAGACAGTCGCCACCGCCACCAAGAAGACCGCCGAGAAGAAGAAAACTGAGAAGGCAAAGGCCAAGGATGTGAAGAAAGCTGGAACCGTGAAGGCGAAGCCAGCAGCGGCAAAGGCCAAGTCGAGCCCTGCAAAGCCAAAACCAAAAGCAAAGGCTGTAGCTGCAGCGGCGTCTGCCAAGCCCAAGAAGGTGACGAAAAAGCCAGTTGCTCCCGCCACCGTAAAGAAGCCGAAAGCAAAGACGACGGCGGCCAAGAAGTAAATTGCGAAATTGTACACGTTGGTGTACACGGTCGCATTCGAAATTTTAGATGATTGTACATCTGAAATTGATTTAAACAAGCCCTTTTCAGGGCTACAAAACTATATCAAAAGAGATAAAAATTATCCGGCCGAGCCCCACTTCATTTATAGGCAATAACAGATACGATTTTAGATTCTTAGCCTGGCAGCGAAAGAACATGGTATTGAAAATGGTTTTGCTTTTAAAATATTCTGCAGGAATATGAATCCCCCCAGCCCTTGCCTTCACCATTTTTTGAAAAGATTTAGCCTATTTTGCATCAGCATTAATGGTTGCACAATGCCTTATCAGCCCCTTGCCATATCGAAAAACGTTCACCACTCAATTTTTTTGTATAGCTGGGAACATTATGGGGTCACCTTTTTTTTTTTTCGATATTTTGGGCTCCTGGGTGCCCAAAAATCTGTTAATTTTATGAACAGGCGACCATTTGGTTTGAAAAGCTACCTTGTGACAAACTTTTGTGGCATCATGTTCATACATACATACCATACGTAAATCCATGATTCGTCCTATGTTACGATTTCAAAAACGTTCTGGGTAACCGAAGCTGTATTTGATTTCCTTTTGTTAAAATCATACTGTACTCGACTGGGGCTGTAAACCACACATTTGAGAAATTTATTGGACTGTATCACTTTTTTTATTCGTTTGTCAATATTGAAAATGGCGTTTTTTTGGGAATGTTTTGTGGCCCTGAAAAGGGCCTTTTTGTCTTAGGTTCTGCAGAGAAACAAATTTACTTGGAGCTGGTGTACTTGGTGACAGCCTTGGTTCCCTCACTAACAGCGTGCTTGGCCAACTCTCCCGGCAGCAGCAGGCGCACAGCAGTTTGGATTTCCCGACTGGTGATGGTCGAACGCTTGTTGTAATGAGCCAAGCGAGACGCCTCGGCGGCAATGCGCTCGAAGATGTCATTGACAAAGCTGTTCATGATGCTCATCGCTTTCGACGAAATACCAGTGTCAGGGTGGACTTGCTTCAGAACTTTGTAAATATAGATGGCATAGCTCTCCTTCCTCTTGCGCTTCTTCTTCTTGTCGGTCTTGGTGATGTTCTTCTGAGCCTTTCCAGCCTTTTTGGCTGCCTTTCCACTAGTCTTGGGCGGCATTTTATTTCACTTTACTTTCACAAATTATACTTTGCGTGGTGAGCAAGTTTTTTTTTTTTTTGCAAGTTTATTTATTGTCATCTTTCATATTACAGTAGCACAGCTTCTGCTTAAATATATAGTTATACAAGAGTGACAGGTTCAAGCTTACTTTAACTTATGTTTATAAATTTACTCTGCGCTTTAAGCTTATCAGGGTGTTAGTCTTTTGGTTACTAATATTAGACATCTTATTTTATGATTAGTTTAGATTATGTTATTATATCTAGTAGTTAGGTGTATATTCCAGGAAAAAAGGTTATGATAAAAACCTGAATAAATTTGATTTTTGTTGGGTTTAAGTCTTATGAGCTAATTTATATACTACGCTTATTCTACTTTTGGGGTGTATTTATAAGGAGGATGAGGAGGGGACTATGTACAGATTGAGGAGTTAGTTGGTAGCTTATTGGCTGATATTATATACCAGCCCGTCGGCTTGACTTAGGGATTGGTGTCTTCTGTGGTGAAAGATTAGGTTTTCGTCTTCGTCGTAGATGATACCCATTGCCATTAGATGGTTAATGTGATGGGCAGTCAGGCACTCGGTGGGGTAGTTTCCAGGTATTTCGGTTTGCGTCATGTTGTCTCTTTCAATGAGCCTCTCCAGTATGTTAAACATAAGTCTGTCTATCCTTGTTGTCTTAGTTAATGTGTAGAGCCGCTTGTTCGGTATGTAATTGCCGGTCAATGCATCTCGGCTTTGGGTTCCAATTGACTTGCGAAGTATTTTCCTTTCGAATCGTCGCAGCTCTTCCATTTGGGCAGACGTTATGTTCATCCACGCTACATAGCCGTACATAATAACTGGTTGTATAAGTTTTCTGTAGGCTAGAGCGTAGATTTTGGTGAGTTGACTAATGTTCCCTTGAGTGGCAGCTATTGGCTTGTAGATGTGCTGGATCTTGCTCAGCATTGCACATGCTTTCCTCCTGGCAGTTTCTGTGTGTATCTTGAAGTTGAGCTTTTCGTCGTAGATGACGCCGAGGTACTTGAACTGCTTCTCGTAATTGATTGGCAGTCTGTCATAGATGTACAGACTTGGCTCAAATTGTCTCGCATTCCTGTAAAGGTCTCCCCGTCGGGGGCCTTTGAGGATTGAGCTGGTGCATTTGCTTGCGTTGAGCTTGAGGTGCCATTTGGTAAAGTAATTACACAGTATGTTCAAGTACTCGTTTAGCTCTCTTTCAGCGGATTGCATTGAGCCTGAGGAAGCCAATAGCAGGATATCATCGGCGTAAATTAGTGCCTTAATTCTTGTGGTTGAGCCGGTAGGGATTTGGTACTCGGGCATGTCTGCCAGGTAGATGTTGTAGAGGATGGGCGCTAGCAGTGATCCTTGCGGAACGCCTGCTGGGATCGACCTTATTAGGGACAGATCAGCGTCATCTGGGCTGCATACCTGAAATGACCTGTTTGTAAGATAGTTTAATACTACCTTTATAATGTCTGCATTGAATCGGAATTGGGTCATCTTGTAAATGAGACCGCTGGTCCAGACTGTGTCAAATGCTTTCTCAAAGTCCAGAGCACAGGCTATTGTAGCACGTTTGTGGGATAGATTCTCAAAGATGAAATCATTTGCTGCGATAAATGCATGGTTGGTCGATGATTTCGCTCTAAAACCATATTGAGAATCCTTCAACGTGCTATTTGAGTCCATGTGCTTCTGTATTTGTCCCATTATAATTTTTTCCAGCAGCAGACTTATTGCAGATAGAAGGGCAATAGGTCTGTAGGCCCGGAGGCTGTGCGGACTTGTTCCTGGTTTGTGGATAGCGATGATTCTGCTGTTCTTCCACTCGGACGGAAAGTATCCCAAGTTAAGGCAGTGGTTGAACAGTGTTGCCAAGTGGTTTAGGATAGGCATGTTGCAGTGCTTCATCAGAAAGTTGCTAGTGCCGTCCGGTCCCATGGTTTTCTTTGTGTTTTTCATTTTCAGAATTTCCAGAAGATTTTCTGCGTTTGTGAATCCACACTCATGGGACTCGGGCCAGTTACCGTCTGCTGTTCTGGAAGTATTAAATGTAGTTTTGTATGAATTTAACGTTGTGGATATTGATTGGGCTATTGTTTCGTTAACGGTCGTTGTGTGTGCTCTTAGGATAGGGTCTGAGTCGGTGATGTTTTCGTTTTGACTATGGATTCTTTCAAAGGACCAAGCAAGGGCATTAATTTTGTGAAATGTCGAAGATATATTTGGAGAGGTGCTAAGGTCTAGATCTATGTCTATTAAGGCAGCTTCCTCGCTGGTCAAATGTAGGTCATGAGCTAATTGTTCTTTCGGAGGAGAGTTTGGATTAAGTCCTTGAAGTGTTTTATGGCTAATTCTACTTGGATCTATTTTGCGTAGTCGGTGGTCTATTGATTTTAGTTCGGCTAATTCTATGTGGCTGTTGATTTGTATGTCCAAGTCCTTTATTGTGTCTTTTATTTGGTTTCGTTGGTCTGGTGTAAGAGTGGATAGGCGTCGGAAAAGGATACGTCTAAGTTTTCGTTTTGTTTTGATTAGGTTTAGGCAGTAGGTGCTAAGTCGGACGGACGGATTGTTTGAGTTAGTCGGATTTATGATGATTTTGGGGATTGCTTCGTCGGAATCAAGGGCTCTGGCTACTGCATTTGTTAATGTATGGACGTGGCTATCTATGTCAGCTGTGTTTATATTTTGAGTGTTGGGGATGGGTCTGAGGTTCTGTAGGATTATTGTATTCCAGTGGATCGGACTTATTTTCTGAAAATTGAGTAGAGACTTGGGTTGGTTGTATGTTAGTCGGTTCTGTCCTAGATTTATGGTAAGGGTTATTCCAAAGTGGTCTGAAGGAAAGTCTTTTATGGTTTTGCAGCCATAGGTAGATGTTAAGCTGTCTATTGGGGTTGAGGAGGACGCTAAGAAAAAATCAATTGAGGAGGCTCCTCTCGGATTCGGTCGTGTGGGTTCTTGGGTTGGATGTAGAGACAAGAATGGTTGGTCTGCCAGCCATCTCTCCAAGCTATTTCCAGACGTGTTGGTGTGTTCTGGACGGTACTCAGGCCTATTCCAAGATGGGTGTTTCGCGTTCAGGTCACATCCCACTACGAATTGCTCATGGTCCTCTATTTTAGCCAGCGAGTGCATTAGAATGTCCAAGTCTGTGACTAGTAGAGGATCTTGAGGACGCAGGTACAGAGAGATTGCAATCAGTCCCGTTCTTATGTTGTTTCTGCTGGTGTGGAAAATTTGCACTGCCACAGCCTCGATGTATTGCATTTGGTCGATTTTCACACGTTCGTATTTAAGACCATTTCTCACGCAGATGGCCACTGATGTTGCAGGGCTTCTGGTGTTATTCTGCGTGGTTGTTAAGCTTGGCATCTGTTGTCTCACGAATTGGTAGTGGCTTAATCCGGGTGAGTGTAGGCATCGCAGATTGTGCTCAGCGAGCAGCATCAAATCTGGCCTGTGTTTGTTAAGCAGCTCGTTTAATTCTTTCCGCTTCCGCAGTTGAACGATGCCATTGACGTTTTGGAACATGATTTTTACTGGCATTTTAGTTGAGCGCAATTTGAATCAGGAAATCTAGAATTAGTTGCCTCTTTCCCTTCATATCCGTGCTGGAAGTTGGATACTTCTTTACAACGGATTGCATGATGTCGAAGCAGGTAAGCAGATCTTTTCCAAATGCATCCACAGAGTCCTCATTTAGTTGTTCAAATGAAAAACTGGCTTTTTCTTCAGCTCTCTTGGGTTTCTCTTGGCGTACTCTGGGTGTTTCCTTTACCTTTACCTGTGGAGGCATTGGTCGGCTTTTGGCAGCTGAGGCGTAGCTTCGTCCCTTTTCAAGTCGGCTTTGTGGTGGGGCTGGAGTTGTGATGGTCTTATTGGCTTTACTCTCTGTAGTATTGCGCCGTTCGGATACCTTCTTAATATATTCCATTCGTACCGGGCAGATCTTTGCATTGGCCGTATGGTTACCTGAGCAATTTACGCATTGAGTTTTTTGTGCCGAATCTTCTTGGCCATCCTTTTCTTCCCTTTTCTTTAGGGTGCATTGGCCTGGGGTATGCGATTTCGTGCATTTGACACAGCGGAATGTCATTTTGCAGTTGCTTGCAACATGGCAGAATCGCTGGCAGTTGTGACACTGCTTTATTGCGTTTGGGTGCGGCTTGAAACCCTCGATGTTTATGCGGCAGTTGAGGAGTGTTGTTAGTTTAAATATCATGTTTATTTTAGCCGTTTTCTCCACTTGTACCATCCACAGCCTATCCTTGTATGGCTTTACCGACAGGATGTTCAGCTCAGGCACGGCCTCAATAAGTGCTGCTTTTACTTCTTCGGCATTATACACTTCGAGTGGCAGTTTCCTCAGGATTATTGTGTGTGGCTTTACTTGTTTGGGTGTGTAGCTGTAGTACAGCACCTTGTCCTTGTTAAAGCGTTCCTTTGTCTGGTTAAAGTCTGCCAGTGAGAAAACCTTAACATGTATCACATTTTTGTTAATAATGTTTAAAGTAAATTTCTTTGCCGTTTCCTTAAGGATTGTCGTTAGAATCTTTGCATTTTGTTGATACGTCACTATGACCGGTAGACCTTTCTCTTTTGCAGGTTCTGCTACCGGTGGTTTTTTTGGCGTCACATTTCTTTTTGGCACAGGCATTGGTTTAGTTGGTGTTTTGGGTGTAGGAAGTTTTGGATAGTTGCTCACATCCTCAGTAATTGTTTTGGCTGGTTTCTTTGGCGAGGGCGGTTTTGCACTTTTCTTTCTTTCCTCCTGTTTCGTTGGTTTTGGTGTTGATGTGGTGCTGGGAGTTTTTTCCAGGGCGTCAAAATATTTTTGGAACTTTATTTGCTGTTCACGGAGGTGTTTTAGCTCTGCCATTATTCGCTCCATCTCAGCACGGTCCATTATCACAGTGTCGATTTCCGTCTCACATTCACTGATGTCATCACCTTCACTTAGGTCCTCGCTCTCGCTCTCACTGTCTGTTGTGGAGTACAGTTCATCTCTGGTCCTCTTCACATTGTCACTTTCGGCCTCCATTGCCTCGATGTCGCGCAACACTTCTTCACTTATTTCCGATTGCGCTGCCATTGTTTTGCTTCTTTCCACACTCTTTGTACAGATTCTTTTCTCACACTCATCAGGAGCGGGAATCACTGCACTGCACTCTGCTCTTGCAGTTTTCCTTTGTCTTGCACAATCACTGTTCACAATTGTTTTTATTAAAAGTTCAGGTAGTTTGGCAATCTATGCGACACTCTGACTTTTTCCACTTGATCACTTCACTTTGGTTTTTATTGCACTTCACGTTAATTCACTTTGCCACCTTTACCACGACCAGTCATTTTTCAATATGCTTGTGTTTCACTTTACGAAGAACGGGAGCGAATGTAAGTAAAATTTTTCTCGCACTGCTATTTATACCAAAACACCATAGAAACACGAGTGAGTCCGAATGATATGTGCATCTCGTTCGGGAAATGAAACAGCATGCTTCGGCTGCTCTCGTTCTGTCGTTTCAACCCTCCGCCAGAAGAATGAGAATGCTATATAAGCTAGCATAGTTGGCTGCGATCGCTTATTGTCAATTCGAATTTTGAACATTGAGAGTGAAAATGGCCCGTACTAAGCAGACTGCTCGTAAATCCACTGGTGGCAAGGCGCCACGCAAACAACTGGCTACCAAGGCCGCACGTAAAAGTGCTCCAGCAACCGGTGGCGTGAAGAAACCTCATCGGTATCGCCCTGGCACTGTTGCCCTGCGTGAAATCCGTCGTTACCAGAAGAGTACCGAGCTGCTGATCCGCAAACTGCCTTTCCAGCGGTTGGTTCGTGAAATCGCTCAAGATTTCAAAACCGACTTGCGTTTCCAGAGCTCAGCAGTAATGGCCCTGCAGGAAGCTAGCGAAGCCTATCTGGTCGGTCTCTTCGAAGATACCAACTTGTGTGCCATTCATGCCAAGCGTGTCACAATCATGCCCAAGGACATCCAACTGGCCAGACGTATTCGTGGCGAGCGTGCTTAAGTTGACATTTCTTCGACAAGCGCATATAAACTTTGTACAAATCGGTCCTTTTCAGGACCACAAATAACTTACATTGAGATTTTTTATTTCTACATACTCGCATTATTTTTCCCCAAATAAAATATGTACATACTAGGTCCCATATGGAAATATTTACTCCTAATATACGGCATTACTGCTCAAAGCAACTTAAACAAAATAATACTTGTAAAGAAACTCCTTTCTGGTGACCCTAACTTACTAAAAAGCCAAGGTTTCCCCACCAATTCTCGCATAATAAATTAAATAAGCTTGTTTTTTAAATAAAAAATAGAATACGAAAATGAATTGTGGGAAAATCATCCAATAAATCCATAGCGTATATGATCCGTATTAAATGTATTAGCATATGTATATTCTTCATGAGTTCTGTTCTTTGTTGTAATGTTAATGAAACATGTGTGTATGTTCCGCAATAATAAGTGGGTGGAATATAATTTGGGGCGATACAAATAATTCTCATTTATTTGGGGAATCAAATAAGTTTTTTTGGGATGAACTAATCAGAAACAACCAGCTGAACAACCTCATAAATTATAACCAATATTATTATAGTTTTTTGACGTATTACATTTATTTGTGGACATTATTTTAACGTAATTTTAGTATCCAAGCTTTTCCAATGACCAATAAATTCAATTTTTTGAAATGTCAAGAATATGCTTAAACGACAGAAGCAACTTGGCATAGGCTTTTTAGACTAACAATCGAAAGACTAGTATGTAATAAAAGGCCGTTTAAAAATTTAAATATATAAAAATATTATACAAAAGTAATGGAAAAATGTTTTCAAGATTCCTATAATTCCTATAAAGCAATAAAATTTGCGAAAAATGTATTCTTTCGATTTTAACATGCAATTAATTAAATTGCCACTGCTGTGTGGGTATGAAAGTATGTTATTTTTGGGTAAATATTAACAAAAATGGATCAGAAATAATATTATATTGAAAATCGTATTGATTTCCTTAAGAAAAATGCCTAATAATAATATATTTTTAAGCATTTATATTTTTTGACCACTAAATTCAATGCTGAACATACCCAGAAAGTAGTCTTTTTGTACTCTATAGGGTTATCTTCAAAACGATATTAAAATACCATACTAACCGATATGTGAATATATGTCTATAGTTTCTTAAAGTAAATTGATCAAATTTAATGTTTCAAAAACAAGTTTTGCCAAATAAGCTAAAATTGTTATTTATAAATACCATTGAATCCCAAATATAAGAGTTGGCTAACTACTTGTCAAAGTTTGGACAGGTATTAAAAATCGATAATGGAGGATATTTAACAAATAAATTATTTAAAATAGAATTTGAAACATTTAAGAATCTGACTCAATAAAACTGTATTTTCATTACTTGATAAAAATACGTTAAAAAGTAGAAATAAGTCAGACCCTCAATGAAACTTCTGCAACACAAATCACCAATGCTGAAATCATCTTCCCACTGCCCTTCTACTCGCTTCTCATTCGAACAGGGGACCATAGGCCCGCCGCGTTTTGCAACTAAAAAGTGTAATTTTATAAAGAATAATGTCTGATTCTGCAGTTGTAACATCCGCGTCTCCAGTGGCTGCTCCACCAGTAGCAGCGGAGAAGAAGGTGGCCGCTAAAAAGGCATCTGGATCCGCTGCGGCTACTGCAAAGGCAAAGAAGCCCACAGCTCCACCATCGCATCCCCCAACTCAGCAAATGGTTGACGCTTCTATTAAGAGCTTGAAGGAACGTGGCGGCTCATCGCTCCTGGCCATCAAGAAATATATTACTGCCGAATACAAATGCGATGCCCAGAAACTAGCTCCATTTATCAAGAAGTACTTGAAGTCGGCCGTTGCCAATGGAAAGCTGATCCAAACAAAGGGAAAAGGTGCCTCTGGTTCGTTCAAACTGTCGGCTTCCGCCAAAAAGGAGCCCAAGCCAAAGGTTGCGTCGTCTGTGGAGAAGAAAGTGAAAGCCAAGAAGGTGGTGTCATCGGCAGCAGCAAAGAAGACAGCAGGCCCCAAAAAAGCAGCCGGAGCCGGTGACAAGAAGCTAAAGGCAAAGAAGACAGTCGCCACCGCCACCAAGAAGACCGCCGAGAAGAAGAAAACTGAGAAGGCAAAGGCCAAGGATGTGAAGAAAGCTGGAACCGTGAAGGCGAAGCCAGCAGCGGCAAAGGCCAAGTCGAGCCCTGCAAAGCCAAAACCAAAAGCAAAGGCTGTAGCTGCAGCGGCGTCTGCCAAGCCCAAGAAGGTGACGAAAAAGCCAGTTGCTCCCGCCACCGTAAAGAAGCCGAAAGCAAAGACGACGGCGGCCAAGAAGTAAATTGCGAAATTGTACACGTTGGTGTACACGGTCGCATTCGAAATTTTAGATGATTGTACATCTGAAATTGATTTAAACAAGCCCTTTTCAGGGCTACAAAACTATATCAAAAGAGATAAAAATTATCCGGCCGAGCCCCACTTCATTTATAGGCAATAACAGATACGATTTTAGATTCTTAGCCTGGCAGCGAAAGAACATGGTATTGAAAATGGTTTTGCTTTTAAAAATATTCTGCAGGAATATGAATCCCCCCATGTCACCATTTTGAAAAGATTTAGCCTATTCTAGCAGCATTAATGGTTGCACAATGCCTTATCAGCCCCTTGCCATATCGAAAAACGTTCACCACTCAATTTTTTTGTATAGCTGGGAACATTATGGGGTCACCTTTTTTTTTTTTTTGATATTTTGGGTCATGTTCATACATACATACCATACGTAAATCCATGATTCGTCCTATGTTACGATTTCAAAAACGTTCTGGGTAACCGAAGCTGTATTTGATTTCCTTTTGTTCAAATCATACTGTACTACGTATCTCGCGAGAAAATAGATGTTCATACACTATTGAATGCAAAATACTGTAAATTACACATTTGAGAAATTTATTCTAGCAGCATTAATGGTTGCACAATGCCTTATCAGCCCCTTGCCATATCGAAAAACGTTCACCACTCAATTTTTTTGTATAGCTGGGAACATTATGGGGTCACCTTTTTTTTTTTTTCGATATTTTGGGCTCCTGGGTGCCCAAAAATCTGTTGATTTTATGAACAGGCGACCATTTGGTTTGAAAAGCTACCTTGTGACAAACTTTTGTGGCATCATGTTCATACATACATACCATACGTAAATCCATGATTCGTCCTATGTTACGATTTCAAAAACGTTCTGGGTAACCGAAGCTGTATTTGATTTCCTTTTGTTCAAATCATACTGTACTACTGTATCTCGCGAGAAAATAGATGTTCATACACTATTGAATGCAAAATACTGTAAATTACACATTTGAGAAATTTATTCTAGCAGCATTAATGGTTGCACAATGCCTTATCAGCCCCTTGCCATATCGAAAAACGTTCACCACTCAATTTTTTTGTATAGCTGGGAACATTATGGGGTCACCTTTTTTTTTTTTATATTTTGGGTGCCTGGGTGCCTAAAAATCTGTTAATTTTATGAACAGGCGACCATTTGGTTTGAAAAGCTACCTTGTGACAAACTTTTGTGGCATCATGTTCATACATACATACCATACGTAAATCCATGATTCGTCCTATGTTACGATTTCAAAAACGTTCTGGGTAACCGAAGCTGTATTTGATTTCCTTTTGTTCAAATCATACTGTACTACTGTATCTCGCGAGAAAATAGATGTTCATACACTATTGAATGCAAAATACTGTAAATTACACATTTGAGAAATTTATTCTAGCAGCATTAATGGTTGCACAATGCCTTATCAGCCCCTTGCCATATCGAAAAACGTTCACCACTCAATTTTTTTGTATAGCTGGGAACATTATGGGGTCACCTTTTTTTTTTTCATATTTTGGGTGCCTGGGTGCCCAAAAATCTGTTAATTTTATGAACAGGCGACCATTTGGTTTGAAAAGCTACCTTGTGACAAACTTTTGTGGCATCATGTTCATACATACATACCATACGTAAATCCATGATTCGTCCTATGTTACGATTTCAAAAACGTTCTGGGTAACCGAAGCTGTATTTGATTTCCTTTTGTTCAAATCATACTGTACTACTGTCTCGCGAAAAAAGATGTTCATCACTATTGAATGCATGTAATTACACATTTGAGAAATTTAGAGCATTAATGGTTGACAATGCCTTATCACCCTGCCCGAAACGTCACCACTCAATTTTTGTATAGTGGGACATATGGGGCACTTTTTTCGATATTTTGATGAATTTTAGGAACAGGCGACCATTTGGTTTGAAGCCACCTTGTGAAACTTTGGCATCATGTTCACATACTGTACTACTTAATGACGCCTATTTTCTGGGTACCGGCTGTTTGATTCTTTTGTTCAAATCATCTCTCTGTTTATTTCGCGAATGTACTGTAAACCACACATTTGAGAAATTTATTGGACTGTATCTTATTTTTATTCGTTTGTCAATATTGAAAATGGCGTTTCTTTGGGAAAATGTTTTGTGGCCCTGAAAAGGGCCTTTTTGTCTTAGGTTCTGCAGAGAAACAAATTTACTTGGAGCTGGTGTACTTGGTGACAGCCTTGGTTCCCTCACTAACAGCGTGCTTGGCCAACTCTCCCGGCAGCAGCAGGCGCACAGCAGTTTGGATTTCCCGACTGGTGATGGTCGAACGCTTGTTGTAATGAGCCAAGCGAGACGCCTCGGCGGCAATGCGCTCGAAGATGTCATTGACAAAGCTGTTCATGATGCTCATCGCTTTCGACGAAATACCAGTGTCAGGGTGGACTTGCTTCAGAACTTTGTAAATATAGATGGCATAGCTCTCCTTCCTCTTGCGCTTCTTCTTCTTGTCGGTCTTGGTGATGTTCTTCTGAGCCTTTCCAGCCTTTTTGGCTGCCTTTCCACTAGTCTTGGGCGGCATTTTATTTCACTTTACTTTCACAAATTATACTTTGCGTGGTGAGCGTAAAAAAAACCAAACCTTATACTTTTATTCGAGCAGTCTATTCAAGTTAAACATACAGGCGGAAAACCCACCCCTAGGTTGAACGCTCAAGCAGACGGAAAGGTATAAATATAGCGTCAT